GAGGATGGAGGTGAGGAGGAAGATGGATTTGGATGATGAGGACGATGAACAGCCAAGGAGAAAGGAAAGGAGAGAGAGAAAGAAAGGGTTAGGCTGGGTGAGTGTGAAGTTGACGGTGTAACGAAGTTGAGGATGTAATTAACAGAAAGTGAAGGGTGTAACGGAGTGTGTAGAAATAAGAAGGTGACTCTATCATTGTCCTAAATAATAACAAATAAATTACTGATATAAAGTGGAAAAAGAGGAAACTAATATATGTTCTTTGCCTTATGTTGGTTAAATTTTATAATTCTATTGATATGTGTATAAATTTATTGCATATGTTACTGAATTATTTGTGATTTTAAAATATTTATATTTTATTATAATATTCATGAGAAAATAAAAAGTATCTAACGATAGATAGAAGGAGAAAATTTGACTAAAAAATATATATAATGATAGATTATAATACAAAGAGTGACTAAGCAACAAAGATATTAGAGGAGAATTAGAAGAGAAATAATAATAACTAACAAATTATTATTATATAAAGAAAAAGTGAGGATAGATATAGTTTAGAGTGAGGAAAAATGAGAGAGTAAATTACAAGATGATATCACAAGAGAAAGAAATGAGAGATTGGAGTAATGGTATGGATGTAATACCAATAAAATAATGCTTCAAAATATGATGTTTAAGTTTTGATTTAGAACATGTCTAATTTAAATAAGAGGAAAGAGAGAGGGAATTGGAATAAAAAAGATATATAATGATCAATAGAGGTGTAAAGAGTGATTAAGAAAAGAATAATGTAATGGTAGGATAAAGGGAGAGAGAATAATAACAACCAATTTATTAATAGAGAAAGAGAGAATGTGAGGCCATTATAGGTGTATAGAAAAGTATAATGATACAATTTGTGTAGGTAAATTAATATCATAAGAAAATTTCATAAAAGATGAAATATAGGTAAAGCAAAATGTATTAAGAGAATAATGTTAATGAGTTATATCTTATTTATTTTAACTTAAAATCTTCTAATACAGGCATTTGAGAAATAAGAGACAAATTGAGGTAAAAAGAGATATATAATAGTAATAGTTATACATGTAAAGGTTAAAGAAATTAATAAGATTTGATAAAGTATTCTATCATGTTTATTTCAAAAAATTTTAATTAATATAAAAATTAAAAATCCATTTTGAAATGACTTTCATATTCATTAATTAAAAATTAATTTTATTATAAATTAATATTATTATATTTAATAATTACTAAAAAATACAATACAAATGAATCAAGCGTAGCACAGTTTTAAAACCTAGTATATTAATAAATTTGGGATTTCTTGATTGAATTGTTAAAGTCATGTGATTAATAAATTTAATTTTGATAATGTGGTTTGTTGGTGCCTGTAAATTATTAGTTAGGTTAAAGGTTTGAAATTTTTACGACCTTTGAAACTTTGAATTAAAAGTCTCGTTAAATGTAGGTTTAATTTAATTTTACGTTTTCCTCTTCAATAATTTGTTATTTATTAAGTAACAATTATTTTATAGGTTACGTTTAGAATTTCCATTTTTGTGACAAATATTTAAAAATTTTAATTTTTTTAATTGCAACAAATTAATGTGAAGATACACCTTTGTTGAAAAATGATTAATTTTAAAATACATGAAAATTGACCCAGTACCAACTCACTGTAATTTAAAAATAAAATAAAAGGGTGACTGGAGGTGCTTTTATATTGAAGTAGGACGATTTCATGAGCAATTGTTGCTCTAGCCAATTGTCCTGATTATTATAACAGAGAGATTGAAGGTAATTTTAAAAGTTAAATTTATTAAAAAGTAATTATTATCTTATAAATTAACTAAATATTAAACTCTTAATATCAGCACACACAAAAATTGGTCTCCTTAAATAATCTTAGAGTGTAGAGCTACTTAAAAGTAGAAAAAAAAGAGGGGGGCGGGGGAGGGACATGGAAGGTGCTTTAGTACATGAAGTAGCAGCCTAGCAGCTACTGTACTGCTATTTATCCGGCCGTCCAGGGCCCCCCATATTAATACTATAAAATAAAATGCAATAACTGAAGAAAAGCAGCTGAACTTGAAGGGATTAGGCGATGATATAGAGGTGATCGCGAGAGGAAGTCGTGTGACAGATAGCGTCAGCAGGG